GCTTCCTCCTAATTAATATACACACCACCTACCTGTCCTTTTATTTTCTTTGTAAATATATAAGGAATACATATTATATTAAACACCAGCACTTTGGAAGAACAGCCTTGCGCAGAGGTTTGGTCTCTGATGTGACTGAAACCTCTGACCCCACAGACAGAACAACAAAACATTGCAAACGAGAATTGTTAGTTGGGCCACGCTAATGACTATTCTCTGAGCCACAGAAAGCCAGTGCAGAGACCTGAGACCAGGACTAATGTGGCCATGCTTCCTGGTTCTAGTCACGACTCGAGCTGCAGGATTTTTAGCAAGTCACAGTAGTATAATTGGAAACAAATACATGGACAAGAATCTTGTTTACTTTAGATTCATGTAGTGTTTTTGAGATGTTAAAAAGCCTCTGATGTTATACTGATTTGGTGTGGATGTTTAAAATGCCATTTATTACCCCTATATTTCTGACCTGATTTGTGGGTTTTAGTAATTTGGTTCTTGTTGAAGCTAATTGCTGAAAGCTGAAGTTCATTTTAGCAAGCAACTGATTAATTTAGTTAGCCAAACGTTTTCAAAGCTGGCTACTCAACACCATTAATGGGATTTCCCCCCCTTGCCTATAGGTTTAAACACATCACATATTTGTGAATATCTCACCTGTAAATCTCAGGTGTCATTTTTTTAACATTTGGTTTACATTTTTTCTGGCACCTGCATCTCTCGATGTCTGCTCTACATGAGTGTGTCTTCAATTTTTTTTCCCCAACTAGTTTCCGTTTAGCAGACTCCACTCCTCTCAGATAATCCCCTCCCTCCTCTGTCCTCAAATGCGGCCACTCCCCCTCGGAGCTTTTTTGCATGTTAACTGTGAAGTTGCCAAAGAGCTGTAGCTTAGAGCCATGTGATCATAGAGGCATGTGTACGCGGTTTGGGGTCTCATTCTCAGCTCATGTTTCCCCCAAATCTACATGTCTGACCTGAAAAGCAGTGGTTCTCTATTATGTTTGATGCCTCATCCTATTTGCAATCTCAATCCCTTTCAATTTATAAAGCTGCCTTGTGTCTGTTGTTAGATAATGTACTACTAGAACAACAAATAGGAGTCTGCATACCACAGCATTTGAAGTATCAAGCCTCGTTATTGCATACATTTTCAATGTTTCTGAATATCCCTGTGAGGTCCTACATTGGTCCAGACCTGCAGTTTTTAATCTGACCACAGTTTAAAAAACCAATTGGGCCATTCTTATTTTTTAAGCATGCCTTTGTTGAAAATACTTTTTTGTTTAGGAAAATTGCATGACTATTAATCGACTAGTTCTGATTCCCAGTCTGCTGATCCACGAGGTGTCTAGACTGCATCTCTGATCTATGCAGTCTATTTGGCCAGTTAGTTTGGACATACAGCCATGTCTTGGTAGGTTTATGAGTTGTTCCATGCGCTTTCTATTTCCAGATTATGGATTAAACAGTTATCTGTGAGATGTCCAAAGCCTGAGTAACCTTTGCCTATCCTAACCATGCTTGGACTTCTCTCCAACTTCATCCATGACCTCAATAGTGTGTTCTTTGGACTTCAGAATGCTGTTTAGTGACCAACATTCTCTTAACAACCCTCTGAGGATATCAAAGAGTTGTAATTATACAGATTTTATATTACACTCCAGTGGACTCTACTTTATAATGAGGTCAACATTTGACCAATCATCAATCATCCGGCTACCTCTAAAGCCGGAGAAGAGAAAATACATTCGTAATTCAATTTGTCATTTTAATTTGTAAAATAGAATGATCTAAATGTGTCATTTTGCTATTGACAAAAAAAGTCCTCTACAAAATATGTCTTCGAGGGTATAGCTGATCATAGTAATGATTTAGTTTTAAACTTAAATAGTAGGATAATATTGTGTCTCTCAAACATTTGGAGCAGGGGTCATGCTAATATGCATGGCATGGCATGGCATCCTTGGCCACTGCACAAGAATAACATGACATTTTGTGCAGGATTCCTCTTTTTTAAATTGATTTCATAGTTATCCCACAACTCATCTGATACAGAAGAAGAACCGTCTTCTTTAAAGACAATACATTCCTAACAGATTTTTTATTTTGTATTGTGGTGTTGTAAGATTTCCCCAGTCTGTGCAGATTAAGTTTACCCTGACATGCAGACAGTGGGCTCTGTCTGATAATGCAGGCTTGTTTGCCTTGGACAGGAAGCATGCTTTACTCTTGCTAAGTTCTTTTGAGTCCAAACTCCAACACACTGGAAAATACTGCACTCTTTTTATGAATCATGACCAATTGAAATGATTGTTATTATCAGGTTACCTGAAGACACATTTTAATATCATCTTAATGTGTATACATTTTTTTATATTATTGTATGTGTGTAGGGGACTCTTTTGGTCTTTTTCTTTGAAGATATATTTCAGATGAGTTTAGGGACAGTTATATTTCCTCCTGCATCCCAACTTCCAACCCGGTGTATGTGTTCTTTATTAAACAGGGTTTGATTTTTGACAATTAAGCCGTTTTGACCCATCCCAGTTTGATCAGGTGACCTGCTCATGACCCCCACCGTTTGCATGTTTCTTGCTTGGCCATGGATAAACTGTAGATAAAACTCGTATTCATTATGTCACGCTTTTGGTAATATGTTCAGCTTCTACTGTTTCCATAACTTTGTTCTTGAGAAAATGTGTACATGATAAAAAAAGTAGACAATCCGTAGTGTTTGAGAAATTCAGAGCTTTGGGGGTTAAGCTGTGAAAGTTAATGTAATAACTGCTAGCACCATCTGCTGGCCTACTTCCTTACAAAGAGAGAGAGTGAGTGAGGGAGAGAGAGGGGGAAAAAAAAAAGAGTCTGGGTTTTAACGACATCTCTAATATTCATGCGGATGCATTTTGCTGCTTTGTGCTTTCATTTTGTGCTGCCCTGCCTGCCAGAGACTGGAGTTCGCCATACCCGTCTCCATCAGGGACAGACCGAAGAACAGGGAGCTACACATGTAGGTAAAAGGAAGAAGAAACAACAGGCTAAACTAAAGGGCAAGCAAATAAAAACGCCTTTTTGTGTGCCCAAAAAAAGACCTCAAACCTACCTTTTTTGTTGGAGAAGAACGGAAAAAGTGACGGAAAGGACTATGAGAGCACACTAAAGGCAAGCAGAAACGGGAATCAATGATAGGGGAGGAGAGACGAGGCATGCTTCTCTGACATACTCGAGCTTCAGAGAGAAGTGGAACCGGACCAAGGTGAAAAAAGCAGCACGCAGCAGTAGAATGAGGGCTTCCTGGACTGCCACGCACCACCTCTACCGCCCACAACACTGCTCCCACACCGGCCTGAATGCAGAGAGAGAGTGAGAGAGCTCCCATGCTCTCCTCTTGAGCCCTGCCCGCTGGGGGAGGAGGAGACCTAACAGGCTCCGGCGCTCTCACACGCTCTGCCCCGAGGAGAAGAGCTGACCGGGGAGGAGAGAGGGAGGGGAGGGGGGGCGCAAAGACCGACTAGACAAGCCACCGAAAACCACTGTTGAAATAGAAAGTCTGTTTAGAAGAGAAAGTGTGAGCGAGCAACACGCGCTGTGTTTGAAAAAAGCCATCGAAAGGGCAAGGCTTTTGTTAGCCGGTCGGCGAGGGGAAGGAAAGAGGAAGAGCAAAAAAACACCATGTCTACAGTGAAGAGGCCAAGAGGAAGGGTAAGTGAGCTGCTCTGAGAGCTGGGAGGGAGGTTGGACAAGGGGAGGAGGAGGGGCTGGCAGGAACTGAACAACCTCCTCTGCCACTGGCTCATGCTGCACCACCGCCATCTTGAACTCATTGCTGCTTTTTCCTCCCTTCTCACTTATTTGATTCGGCATGTAAGACCTTATCAAGGCAGACTCTACGTTAACAGTGTTGTCTTTTCCCCACCCCCACATTTTTGTTCTCTCTAAACTCTGTGTTCAGATTTCTCCTGTGTGCTTCACCGCTGTTGTGTATACAGTGCATTGTTTGCGTCCTTCTTGAGTTGAGTTTGTGAGTCATACCAGACAACTTACAGCTTATATAAAAAGGTGAGGGAAAGACACAGAAGCCTGTAGCTTTTCTAGCTTTTCTAGCTTTGCTTCGATAGTCTCCTGTGTTTATGAAACGACACAACATGCTGCTAGATTGAAATCACTGCAGTGCTGGCAGTGCAATTTACAGTTATTTATAGATGTATTACACAGCTTCCATACTCTGGCTTTTGTTGGCATTTTCTCTCTCTGCCCCCTCATATTTGACAAAATCCTATTTTTACTTTCTCTGACCACCTTGTGTGTTCCCATGTTCTTCCGCACTAAAGCATTACTTTCAGCCCCTCCCCCTCTTTTAACATTAACTTGAATACGAACATTCCAGTCTGATCCAGTCAATTTCTACCTAATGGCCCCAGCCGTATTGCACACGTGAAAATCATAATGCAGTGCGTGCGAGTTTCCTTTTTGAAGGATTAGCTGTCATTCCCTACCATGTTTACTATTTAGGTGGATTTAACTTATCTTTTTGCTTCTGCTGGTATATGCATATTTTCATTAGGTCAATCAATTATAGATTTATGCTACACACTGGGCTAGGCGCACCACAAAGCTTCTTCTGTGTAGTCATAACTGCAGTCACAACATCTATTATTCACATATTATCACGTATCAAGCGAGTTGGTTTATTTATGCGTCTCCATGTTGCAGGTTACACCAAAGCAGGCAGGATTTAACAAAGTACATTGTCCTCATATTTCCATCGGCTTTTGACACATTGTTGTGATCAGTCTTGACAAAAATGAATAGTAAAGTAATAGTTCAGCAAAAGTAGAACATGACAATATCCACTTGTGGGTGTGATTTAACTATTTAGTTTTAAATTGGAAATGTGTCTGTAGGAAATGTTCTCAAAAGCACTGTAATTTCTTGTTTTTTTTATATGTTCAAATTGACTAAAGATATTTTTCCCTTCTGCTCATTTCTGTCATTCACAGCCCCGGAAGAATACCAATGGTCCTGGTAGCCAAATCGAGAACCCGAGCCCTCCAATGAAGAGTAGCTCATCTTCTTCCTCTTTGTCGTCCTCCTCATCCTCTTCCTCCTCTTCCTCCTCAAGCTCAGAGAAGTCCGAGAAGAGGACGCAAAGAAGACACAGCCACCAACAGATGGACACACAGGAGAAGCAGGAGAAGGCCAACCGGATAATTTCAGAGGCTATTGCTAAAGCCCGGCAACGTGGCGAGAAGAACATCCCTAGAGTGATGAGTCCAGAATGTTTCCCTGGCTCCTCATCACAGTATAAGGCATATCGAGACCGAGGGCGAAAGGGTAACAATAAGGCACGCACCAAAGACAAAGTCAGTCGGAAGGCTCATATTGTACCATCATCCAAAAGCAGGAAGAAGGCCAAGATTGGGTACGTGATCAAACAGATGCAACTCCATAACATCTTCTACTTCATGTCAGACACACAAGATTACCATCATAATTTTTACCTTCACATTTCCTATGGCCATAGCTTTTACCTTAAATCATAACATTTGTCTATTTCTAGTTCTCTAGTGGAAAAGGCAGTGTGTGTTTGGAGTGATTACATAATCTCCATGGTGACTGTGATAAGGAAACGATGCAGGAATCTCGTTTAGAGTGATGAGATAAAGAGTCTAAAAATATCGTTGCCTTATCTTTAGCTATACTATTAATATTATTATTATTAATGATTTGTTGTTGTATTTTTGTTGTTGAACAGTTTCTAAAAAACTGGTCATTCCTGGTTACCCAATAGGATTGGGTGGTAGTAACAATACATAATTTTATATGGCGCTTTAAAAGGATGGACAAATATTGTTGATGACATTTTAACAGGTCTTTATTTTGCCCAACTACCATAATATTATAATTTGCAAGACTTTTCTTTGAACCAACCTATCCTCAACATGGTTTACTTTTGCAATGCCCTCCACTGGTATAAACAGCTTTTGCAAGATGGATGCTCAAAGTTCAGCTGAATTTACAGCATGCCATTATAATAAAGCAGGCTCAGATTTCAGCAGAGGCATGGGAGGAGCAAACACAGGCTTCATTTACATGCAAGATGGTGCTACCGAGAATATTCAGGCAAGTACTGCTGATGTATAGATACTGCCTCCCATCCCCCAGTTTTTTTAGCTGCTTCATGCTATGTGTAGCTATAAGCCACACCCTGCACAAGCAAATAAAATATCAGCTTATGCTGTTCCGGCTGAGAGCTGAAAGGAAGAAGAGAACAAAAGATGTTGTAACATCCAATGGCCCTTCTGTGTTATTACACTCACGTATTGTTAATTAAGCTCTTTCTGTCAACAAATTAATCAATATTAACTGGACTGATTGATGTCCATCCTGTAGAATTGTATGTTATACATACATTATTGTGGCAATACCTTCTCTTCAAAGCCTGACCTCATCATATCTCAGAAGTTAAGCAAGCCAGGGCTGGTTTAGTACTTGGATGGGAGACTGGTGCCAAAGGGGAGAATGAATGAGGTGAAAACTGTCATTGTGTGTGAAGGCAATTTGCTCATCAGCCACCTTGCCCACTGTTAATCTGATTGGGTATAGGATTTAGGTTGTGGTCAGAGAAGCCGATGGCGCTTATTGGTAGCCTGGCCTTAGCCATCCAAACACTCCGCTCAATCATCATTTCACTGCATGTAACGTCTGGGTCTAGTCTCTATGTTAGCGATAACAAGGGATAGCGATAGAAGGTCCTGGGTTCGAATCCCGGTCAGACCAGGGCCTTTCTGAGTGGAGTTTGCATGTTCTCCCTGTGTCTGCGTAGGTTTCCTCCGGGTACTCCGGTTTCCCCTACCACTAAAAATATGTCCAATAGTTCTAGCATGCGCCTCCTGTACTGGCGACCCCGCTTCCATCTCTGTGTGGAGTGAGAGACAAATGCCCAAAATTAACAATTGTAAACCGCTTTGAGACTCAGATCTGCAGTGAAAAGGCGGTATATAAATAAAGACTACGACTACTACGACTACGACAATCGGTTGAATTTCGACCGACCTACCAGCGAGCGCGGAAGGAGAGTGTTGTAGTTAGTTGGTAGTGGGTGATGTCAAGAGTTTGCGTCGAACGGGCAGGTTGTAATTTGGCAATGGAGAAAAGTGCGATAGTAAAGTAATCCGGTCTGGTTCTATCAAGAAATTGAAGCCGGAGCAATAGGAATGTTTGGCAAATATAATCGCTGGAAAAAATTGTGGCGCTACTCCCCACGGGCTCCGTTAGCGGCAAGGCTAGGCTAAATGCTAACGACTTACTCGGGCGCATTACATAAGTCACGGTAAACTCAGATCCTATCGTTTCAATCTGCAAAAGGAGTTAACCCCTCCTATCTGTAAACGGAGCTCAATGGAGCACCTTCAGACCTTAGTACGAAATGTAATTGGTACTATGGTGTGGTACGACCAGGCTAGCTTATTGGTAGCGCCGCTTCATTCTGTTGCAAACTGCCCCAGCTCATGTTAAACATTGTGGTTTGTTTGTAATATTGTCCTGTATTGTACATCACACTGACAGAATTCTTTTTCCTTGAGTTTAGGAAATACTGTAACTCATAACTAATGTTCTTAACTAAAATAATTATGGTGCATTGAGAAAAAGGTTTGCTTTGGTAAATGTTGCTCAGTGTTACTCCTGGATTCGCAAGGAAACTTTGCCAGTCAATCACCATGGCCTCAAATTTGGAAGTGCTGGTTATCATCCTGCAAACCCCAGTGCATGTTGGGGGTTCTGGTTTATTGTTGCACATAAAATTGGACCAAATACTGTCAGTGATGCCATGCTTCTGATGCCATGATAGGTTAGTTATAGCACTGTAGGCCCAGAGATCCAGGCTGGATGCAAGGGAGAACTGGGTTGACTAGTGTGTGAATATATGGAAGGTATGGATATATCTGACGGTATTTCGGAAGGTACCGCTTTACACTGGCCATTTGAAAAAAATCTCAAATCAGCATTTTGTTCTCTCTTTGAACTCATCAGGACGCCAGCTGTGGGGATTTGTCTATAACAAACAAACTTTTGAATTGGTTATTTACAATTTGGGCATGCACAGATCCACATACAATTATCAAGCAATTGTATGTTCCTCTTAAATAATGATGATTTGTTATTACCAATCAATCAGCACCTCCAAATCCGAGGCCATGGTGCTCGACCGGAAAAAGGTGCCTTGCCCTCTGCAGGTGGGTGGAGAGGTCCTTTCTCAAGTGGAGGAGTTCAAGTATCTCGGGGTCTTGTTCACGAGTGAGGGAAGAATGGAGCGTGAGATTGACAGGCGGATCGGTGCAGCGTGCGCAGTTATGCGGTCGCTGTTTCGGACCGTTGTGGTAAAGAGGGAGCTGAGCCGAAAGGCAAAGCTCTCAATTTACCGGTCAATCTTCGTTCCCTCCCTCACCTATGGTCATGAGCTTTGGGTAATGACCGAAAGAACGAGATCGCGGATACAAGCGGCCGAAATGAGCTTCCTCCGCAGAGTGGCTGGGCGCTCCCTTAGAAATAGGATGAGGAGCTCAGTCACACGGGAGGAGCTCGGAGTAGAGCCGCTGCTTCTCCACGTCGAGAGGAACCAGTTGAGGTGGCTCGGGCATCTGTTCCGGATGCCTCCTGGACGCCTCCCTGGGGAGGTGTTCCGGAGGAGGCCCCGCGGAAGACCTAGGACACGCTGGAGGGACTATGTCTCTCAGCTGGCCTGGGAACGCCTTGGGGTCTCCCCGGACGAGCTGGAGGAAGTGTGTGTGGATAGGGAAGTCTGGGCGTCTCTGCTTAGACTGCTGCCCCCGCGACCCGGCAACGGATAAAGCGGAAGAAAATGGATGGATGGATGGATGTTATTACCAAAGTCCCTATACTACCCCCAGTGCATCAAGGAAATTCTGAAAAAAATCATTGTAAACTTGTTCTTAAATCCAGCATCCATCTGTTGAGAGTAGCTCAGTAATGGCACATTAGAGAATCTCATAGGGTAATTATTTTCATCAATGTCTCCTCGGCATGAATGTGATCACAGTACTCTGGCCTGTTCTTAGGAGTCCTAAGGATTCAGCTAAATCAGTGTAAAGTGGGGTTCAGGGCCCCATGGTGAGGACTTTGATACATTTGAAATATTGCTTAGATGTACTTAGATGTCAAAATAGCCTCACATGGCTTTAAAACGTATTGTTACACCCTATATTGAATATCTTATAGTATACTGCAGCATTTGACTTTATTATTTCTTTCCAACTATTCCTTCTGTAATGGCATTTGGTGTTCCACATAATCACAATATCTAACAAAAAAACACTTTTCCCATCCTAAGTGACTGATTATAGCTTCATGTGAGGAGACTTCCTCTGTACCTGCGAGTAAAACCATTGTCTTGGCTTGTTATTTTGTCTCATTTTGTTTTTGTTCCCATGTTCTCCACCCACCATTCTCCTCCTACACCTCCTTCTCGACATTTTTCTATGTTCTTAATGTGCTTCATCCAGCTTGCTGCTTAGAGCTGCGTATTCCGTCCTTCCTGTGAGCAGACATGCCTTATACACGCTGATCCGACAAAGCAGCAAGATAGCTGTAAAATATTAAACAAAATGGTGCTCTTGAGATCAATTACGCGATAGAAAATGGAGGTTTACATCTTTCCTAAATACTTGAACATGTAATAGTTTGAGCCTGGCATGGTTTATCTATTCAAGATTGCATAGTGTATTCATGTTTTGGTGAAAACCGTCATGGTGGGAGTTATATAAAATGATGAAAGTCTACATTGCGTGGAAGAGTTATTCTAGTGCTAAGTTCATAAAGAATGGGGATTTCTACACAGGGCCACTGTTTCCATAAGTCATGGTCAAGGAACAAAGCAGCTATTGGAAAATGTAGCTTTATTTGATGACAATGCAAAGTACTTAAAGCGTTCTAGATTATTTTAAACTCTCACACTAGCATTCCCACTGGCACGGTGCCAAGTAGGGCAGGACAACACTGGTGGGACAAGGAATGGAGGTTATTTGGCACAATCGGAGAGGCCCAGCAGAGCTTCAATAAAATGTTCTTATAGTGGAGTGTTCTATTTAAAACACTGGTCATTCCTTGTTATCAAAGGCCTGTGGAGATGTCACGTGTCCTCGTACAGATCCATCCATCAAGTTAACGGTGGAACCATGGCTCTTGATTGAATGGTGGTGACCACATATTAGTATGGCACCAATTGGCCTTTTCATTTCCAATACTGGACTATGGTTGGTCAATATCAGCTGGACAGATAGAGCTGCAATGTGGTGATCCATGGTGTTGGTGGAGTATTTACTCCAGAGTGCATGATCTCCTGCTGTGCCCTTTGTAAATTGAACACTCTTTTCTAAGGACATCAAGTGTCCTCCAATGTTGAGTGTATGATATGTGTAAGAATAAACTACAGACTATTTTTTCAGACTCCGTATTTCTATTCTTGGTACAATGTCTTACCTGTTAAGCACATTGACAATTGAGCATGTAGTTGCAAGAATGTGCTATACAGTGTAGGGGTGGCTGTTAGCTGTAAAACCAGTATAATTTTGAGGAACAGTATGAAACTTGAAATACCGCCATATCATTTGTGTGTGTGCCACTGGTAATGTTTACCTTTGCTCTAAGCATGTGGAGAAATGGCGGCTGTGATCATAGCTGTGGCAGATGAACTCAGCAACAAGCTAACCTCCTTCTGACTAGAGTGTCACGGTAACCAGTGTAGGCAATAACCTCTGCAAGACGTGTTGATGTTAACGCCATCCATTTCATATTTAAAATAGTCTTTTCTTTGTGGGGTATCTACATGTGAGTAGGGGTGGGAACCTAAAGCCTAGCGTACATCGACAGAGAAACTGGGGACAACTAGTTGCAAGGCGGCTTTTGGCAACTGAGAGGAGATGGTGGGAGATGATCAGTTGCCAAAATCGGTCGATGTGCGCGCTCTTACAACTGGAGATGATCAGTCGGTCTCCAGTTTCAGTCAGTTGCCCGTGTTCTACTTTTCGGCAACTAGTTGTCCTCAGTTTCGGAGATATGACCCGATGTGCGCGCTCCATGCGCCGCTCCGACAACGTGTGTGTATTGCGTGTATTGCGAGCCCGCAACAGTTTATGTCAGAAAACAAACTGTAGTTGAGGCCTGTTGCTGTCGATGTACGCGCTGTTATTCCCGAGACTGGTCTGCTACTGGGAGTTGCCCGTTTTCGTCAGATTGTCGATGTGTGCGGGGCAGCAACTCATATGCGACGGATATAATCAGTTGCCAGTCCGATGTACGCTAGGCTTAAGGGTACCTCACGATACGATACGCGATACAAAGCTCACAATAACGATTATATCACGATAACGATTATATCACGATATGATGATTATCGATATATTGGTCAGCAATATACCATACCAATATATGGCATACATATAATAGAAAAATTTTAAGTGAAAAAATACACTTTATTTCATGATAAATGGAATGGAGATGTGTAATAAAGCCTTATCAAGTATTGATACTAAGTAAAAAATATATCGAAAAATCGTCACACTCCTACATGTGAGCCTTTCCATTTTCCACTGGTGCACATTGCACCAGTCCCTCACTTATCTTCCTGCAGGTGGTGAGTTCACAGGAGCTTTGATCTTCCAGAGGGTGCCTCAGGCAAAGTGGGGTTAAGTGTCTTGCCCAAGGTCTCAATGACAGCAGTCATCAGTGAGAGTTGTGAAGTAGGTCTCATGGTGGGCTCGAAACCACAACCTTCAGGCCCAAAGTCCAATGCTCTACCAACTGAGCCACTGTCGCCCCGGTTTACTATGTTTTAAAGATTGAACACTCCTAAATAAGTGCATGTGAAAACTAGTGACAACCAAAGCAAACGTTTTCAGCGTTATTTGTATCCGTATAAAAACTAGTGATAAAACCAAATAGCGAGGAACTTGCTGCATGAAATTTATTATGTACTTATTTTTTGGTTTGAAAATTAGGTATTGAACCAATCACATGTTTGTTATAATGTTTTGACTCTAAAATGGTCAAAAATGGTTGTATCAGATTCAAAATAATGTATTGTGAATTTCTAGGTTCTTTCACGTCTGTTTAGAGGCAATGATGTTGAAGAATTTAAACCGTGGATTTATCTTTTTTTTTAAACCAATCATTTAATTGATTTTGTTTACATAAAAATGACAATATTGATGTTTGTTGTGTTCTAAATCATCAGGCCTGAGAGGAAAACAGCATGAAAACGCTACTGGTGCTCACTGGATTCAGAGGAAATTATGTCATGTAAATGCTGCCACCCACCTTACGAGACTCAAAGGGCATGTTGCGTGGCAACCATGGCGTAACATGTCATTGTTGAGAGGATTTGTGAAATGTAATATAATCCAGAGGGGGCTGGGCCTCCCGCATGTCCTGCATGCTGCTTTCACTTATACTTGCACTATTCAACTCTAATGTTTACAAAAACCTTTCAATCAAAATGCCCATAATGTATTATGCAAGTCAGTCAGGGGCTGGAAGACACTTGTCTTTAATGTTCCAACTGTGTATCATTATGAGATATGTGGAGAAGCTCTTGGATGAATTTAATGCTTTCACCAACACCTTAAATTGATGTTTCAAATTTGATATGGTTTGTATTTTGAACTTTGATTCAAAGATTGAGAATATGGGATTACAGTGTTGAGGTTTTACAACATAGCACTTGTTTGTGTCTAACCAAACCCTCATCTATGTTACTGTAAGCTGTTCATCAAACATCCACACGGATGTGACGTGTTGGGACAGAGTTGTGTTGGGCGGCATACATTAGCATACTATAACCTACCTGATTCTTACGTTACTTCATTCTGATTTGCAAGTAAGTAGGCATTGGGCCTCTTGCATATTTCAATTTGAATCGAACTGTTTATGTGTATATTATACGGGCATTGTAATTGGCTTTTTACTGTGTTATTGGTGGATAATATAACTGAATATTCTTAAGCATATAGCCTATTATACACCTTCTGAGTGACTGTTGATGAGCTGTGAGATGTGCGTAACCATGTTGTGTGTGGAGCAAGCAACACGGGGAACTCCAATTAAAAAAATGATGCTATGGGCAGGACAACACTGGTGGGACAAGGAATGGAGGTTATTTGGCACAATCGGAGAGGCCCAGCAGAGCTTCAATAAAATGTTCTTATAGTGGAGTGTTCTATTTAAAACACTGGTCATTCCTTGTTATCAAAGGCCTGTGGAGATGTCACGTGTCCTCGTACAGATCCATCCATCAAGTTAACGGTGGAACCATGGCTCTTGATTGAATGGTGGTGACCACATATTAGTATGGCACCAATTGGCCTTTTCATTTCCAATACTGGACTATGGTTGGTCAATATCAGCTGGACAGATAGAGCTGCAATGTGGTGATCCATGGTGTTGGTGGAGTATTTACTCCAGAGTGCATGATCTCCTGCTGTGCCCTTTGTAAATTGAACACTCTTTTCTAAGGACATCAAGTGTCCTCCAATGTTGAGTGTATGATATGTGTAAGAATAAACTACAAAGTAAAAAAATAAACTACTACGGGGAACTCCAATAAAAAAAATGATGCTATCACTCACTGCTATGTCAGAGTTCCACAAGTGTGCTATCACTTATAAAAAAATTAGATTTGCATTAAAGTGTTCTGCTTGTGCTGTCCTTGTGCCTCCTCTCTGCAATAAGCGACTGCATCCACACGTCCCATGGAGTGCTTTATTGTAAAATCTAACCTGGTGCAAAGTTTAGTTTAATAAGCGACTGCATCCACACGTCCCATGGAGTGCTTTATTGTAAAATCTAACCTGGTGCAAAGTTTAGTAGGTAGAAAAGTCAAGCAAGGAGTGGAGAAAAATTCATGTTTGCGCACTCGATTGTCTCCAGAGTGGATAAGGGAATGGATTCAAACGTTAATAGTGTTTTATATTATTGTAATATTCTTTAACTTAACTAGTAACTATTCTCTCAGGTCTTCCACTTGCGTTCTGACACAAAATAGAAAAAGATCTCATCGCACTCATTTTCCCAATTCTGCTCTGGATGGACTTTAAAATCCTATGTTAGTTTCAGATCCTCGGAAGTCAATCTTCTTTTTTGAGACTGACTGCGGGAGAAGCAGCTATTTCCCATCATGCTCCTTGTAAATGGAATGCTCTGCATAATGATATTAAATGTGCCGTGACCCTGATCTAATCTTAGAGTAAAATATGACTGACTTGTTGAGACTTTATGTCCTGAAAGCAGCAGTTATCTCATTGTCTTTTTGTTATTTGTTTTGTTTGTCTTATAACTTTGAGCACATTGAGTTGGTTGCATCCTGCCTGTATGTGCTATATAAATAAAAATGTCTAATGTTTATGACTTCACAACTTTAAAGTCATACAGTACCCTAAAATATTACAAGTTTAATCTTGCAGCGTTAACATGAGATTCATGATCTGTGAATAAATGTTTGCTCCGGAGTCACAGCATATATAAATCAGTAATATATAAGTATTGAAAGGGTAACTTTCAATACTTTAGGGCTGCACTTTTTGTTTATTATATTTTTTATTTATCAAACAAGCACACGTCTAATGGCAGTTTGATTGTTTTTGTGTTACAGAAAAATTGTCATCAAAATTGGAAAGAGGAAAAAGCGGAAGCCAGAATCTTCAGAGGAAGAGTCAGACGAGGACCCTCCCCCACGACACAACTTCAAGGATGATTCGGTAAGATGAAACGTGACCAGTCGAGGCTGAACTACAAATTCACCAATAAAACATAGGACAAACATTTTAAAAAAGTTAATGGAGATTTGATAAATATTCTCCCTAAATCAGATTTCTGTGAAATGTTCCTCAGTGTGAATAGGTAGTTTGTGAATGGAAAATCCACAAACAAATGATTAAGAGTCTGTGATTTTTTTTTTTTTTAAAGAAATATAGGCCGTTTTGGAAGACCAGCTGTCAGGTTCAGCTAATGGGGATAAAATAAACTCAACTTTGAAGGAGACATTATTTCCACTTATATTTCAAAAAGTACTTGTAGAGCGCAGACCTCCACTTAGAGGCGCAGTAACATTCCTTAAAAAAAATCCTACATCCATGATGATTCGTATCCCCTCCAAAATTTAATGAATTGTTTACTGCACACATTTTGTCTAACTCCTCATGCAAATGTGCCTTGAATCCTCTGTTTGACATTTCACCTCAAAGATGAATAACCACCTGTTACAACTCCATTTGGCTGTTACCAGCTTGTGCTCTAAGCAAATGATAGACCTGATCATGTTGTTGCTACAAAGTGGTGTTGGATGGATGGCTATGTTTTTAAGAAATTACAACTTATTACTGTGAAAGATGAATATTCTCAGGTGCAGGTCCATAATTGTTTCTCCTCTGCAACAGAAGCGACGGTCGAATCGGCAGATTAAGAGGAAAAAATATGCAGAGGAACTGGAGACGAGGTTGTCTGATGATGACGTCAAGGTTATAGTCAAAGCGAAGAAAGCCAACCCTGCTGTTCGCAAACAACCAGCTGTCCAGCTCTTTGTTGTAAGTAATCTATTCTGACTTCGGTGTCGATCGATTCACACACTGTGCGTTACTTGGATTGTACTTCAGTGAGGTTTAAAACGTATATATTTTTCAATTCAAGATAGTTTTCTGCCCCAGAATCTGATAGCTTGTAATGTCACTCGCTTCTCTGAAGAGAGGAGAGCAAACCTAATGCAAGAAAAGTTACAGGTCATATCTGCAATGTAGAGTCAATCTGTGGAGCATTCCAGGCAACACAAAAGCACGTTTTACTTGGTGGGCCCAAAACTAAAAAATAAAGCTTTATCATTTAATTTTGAACCAAAAATGTTTCTTTTATAATAATAATATATATTAAATATAATAAATTGTAATGTTATCTTAATAAATTTTTGCAGATTGTGACCTTTATTTATTTATTCATTCTTTATTTATTATTTGTATTATTTTGATAGTTTTTGTCTTCCATACTGGTCAGTTAGGTTTCGATCGAACCTAAATTGTACTAAATGGTAAGAAAGGCTTGTTATCGTTCCTTATATGCCACTTTTGTCATATTAGGATAATCCCACAGATGAGGATGCTGCAGTTGTTGACAAAATCATGTCGTCCCGCACTGTAAAGAAAGAGGTAATGATTTTGTTTCCTTTTAAGTTTGTTGTATCAGGATTTGCTCACAATATGCTCACTTCAATCAAAAACACTTACAAGTGTTATATTTATTTGTGTAGCTTTCCCCAGAAGTTGTCGTAGAGGTGGAAGAGTATTTTGTGAAATACAAAAACTAGTAAGTACATGTAATACATTTTGTTTTTGCACATTCCAGACATTTGCTGGAAAATTAAATGTAATTTCATGCTAGAGTAGTATTGTATTGTATAAATAGAATTGTGTTTGGGCAATCTCTGCTGATTGTTCATAACTTGGTCTAACATGTTGTGTATCAGCTCATACCTACACTGTGAGTGGGCAACAGAGCAGCAGCTGGAGAAGGACAAGAGGATTCAGCAGAAGATCAAACGCTTCAAGATGAAACAAGCACAGAGGGCGCTCTTCTTCGCAGATGTAAGCCTTTCTGCTGTTTGTGTGCGTCGGGACACATACGCTCGTCTGTGTGCACTGTTTGTGCTACATTTATATAGTAGAGGATTTTAATAGTCTGTAGAGGTTGCTTTCACAAGTGACAAGTGTATGTGGGTGTGTGCATAATTTGAATTTCTGTACTCATTCGCTTGATACATTAGATTCCAGATGGTGTGTTGGCCTCAAGAAGCACCTCTTCACTGTTCTTCTCATCCTTATTTCTGTCTTTATCAGATGGAAGAGGAGCTTTTTAACCCCGACTATGTAGAAGTCGATCGAGTGCTTGAGGTGTCATATTGTGAGGACAAAGACTCGGGCGAGGTATGCAGCTGAAACTCCATTCCATTCAGTAAAAATATTCATGCTAAGCTATGTGAGTAATTTGTGGACTACTTAACTCTTTGCCTGTGGTTTGTAGTTGCACTCTTGTCAGTGTATTCCTCTTTCTAGAAATGTCTTTGTGTGTGAGAAGTGCACAAGGCCATCCTATTAGGCCTCCTTGCAGCCTTTGTTAACACTATGAAAGCATTGCCTGGCCTTGCTCCAGTCGCTTCCAGTGCTCACTTTGCCGTGCTTGCTACAGGAGGTGGTATACTACCTGGTGAAGTGGTGCTCTTTGGCTTACGAGGACAGCACCTGGGAGCTGAAGAATGATGTCGATCAGAGTAAGATAGAGGAGTTTGAGCAGCTGCAGGCAGTGAAGCCAGACTCTCGTAGGATGGTAAGTCTTGCCCGGCCACTTTCTGCTTATTACAAGGGGATTTTAAAGTAATTATACAATCAATGTGATGGAACAGGAGAGACCACCAGCCAACATGTGGAAGAAGAGAGAGCAGTCCAGGGCATACAAGAATGGCAACAGCCTCAGGGATTACCAACTTGAAGGAGTCAACTGGCTCCTTTTCAACTGGTACAACAGGTCAGACTTCTACTATGTCAGTTTCTTCCACATTTTGCTGCAGAGAATCAGCCGCTAGTAAGAAAGCGTCTCACACCATAACCATTTGCATCAATATTATGGCATAGTCTTAAAACAATAGAAAAAGCAGATACTGTATATTGCTATCTCCACTAACAATAGCAGGAACTTCTGTCACTAACCGGTTTAACCATAACTATTGCCTAACTCTAACCTTCTTTTTTTGTCTTCCGCTTGCAACGATAGTATTAATTTCATCAGTCAAACGAATTCTTCACAACTGTGGGTGCATGTCTGTCATGCCATGTTAGACCTTTTCATTATGAAAGTAGAATGCATTTTGTTTATTGTGTTTATGTGTTTTTTTTTTTTTTCAATTATTTCACATTATAAAACATTACATGCCAAAGTAAATATTCAAAAGATCATGATTAAGAGCCAACATTTATGGAAATAAATGTTTTCTATAAAAAAATAAAAAATAGAGTTATACATCTCAACAACTTATAGATCAACTTTTGCAATATAAATGCATAAAATGTATTGCTCTTTTAAATGGAAATTGGTTTATGGTTTAACAAAAATCACAAATGCACTTCGAGGTATTTGACTAAGCGCAAAGGTTACATTCATTTGTTTAAAATAACTGATCCACTACAGTTAAAAAGGCCTAACAAACTAGGTACAGTTTTGAGGCTGCTATTGATGGTTATCAAAACTTTTTTTTTGTTTTTTTCTGAAAATGATTTACATGTCATGTAGTGAAGCATTACGTTGATACTTCTAGTTAGCTCACACAGTCTTATTCTTTGTTTTAGACGAAACTGCATCCTGGCAGATGAGATGGGTCTGGGAAAAACAATTCAGTCCATTACATTCCTTGAAGAAATTCAGCGTGTAGGCATTAAAGGCCCATTCCTCATCATAGCTCCACTTTCCACCATTGCAAACTGGGAGCGTGAATTTCGTACCTGGACTGATCTCAATGTCATCGTCTACCATGGGAGCGTAGTCAGCCGACAGATGCTGCAGCAGTATGAGATGTACTTCAGAGATACGCAGGTAAATATTCAATCTCCATCTAACTCAAAGTGCTTTACATAAACCCTAACCCGCCAACACAATTGTCTGTAAAAGCAGGTAAATATCGGGAACACCCGAAATATATAATTCATATATTGTCTTTTATAGCGACTATCTTGGTTAACATTTGTACAAAACAATTGTAAGGATTTTATATGATAGATTTGTATCCAGAATTTTTTTAGATCGAAGTTGATTTACCTAAAATTTCTGGCGGAAGCCGGATGGCTGGGTTCCAGCAGAGATGCATTGCTCATTATATTGTGTGTAAGTTGGTGTATAAGCAGTTAATCTCAGGCAGAGGCCGCTTTTGGTTGGCAGGCCATGTGATGTGGCACAACAGGCAGTTAGGCACGTCAGTAGGTTTAATGAAGGCGTGTGATAGGAGAACACAACAGAGCCGGCAGTCTCCTAGGCAGTCTGTGATGCGCAGCATCCCCCTAGGGGCAGTCTCTGTCAACGTTGTTCAGGCATATCACAGGGAGAGGCTCCTCTACGTCGTCTCTTTGGCTGACTGGCTGATGGTGGGAGCAGATCACTAGATATTTCCTACAAGAGAACAAGTGGAAGAACAAAGGCATTGTCAGAAAACAAACAACTAGGATTCACAAAAATCCACACTCAATGACATGATGGTGCTAAGTATTTAAAATTGACTTGCCCTTTTCAGGGACGTCCTGTGCGAGGTGCATACAAGTTTCGAGCAGTCATTACAACATTTGAGATGATTCTTGGAGGCTGTCCTGAGCTTAACGCTATAGACTGGCGTTGTGTTATCATTGATGAGGCTCATCGACTTAAAAACAAAAACTGCAAACTGCTGGAAGGTTTCAAGCTCATGAACCTGGTAAATATGCATTCTAAACCAAATAAACAACCTTATCTTAAACTTTTACAAAACATTGATGAATGATTACAACCTTGTCTTTTACTGTATAGGAGCACAAGGTTCTGTTGACGGGCACTCCCCTTCAGAATACGGTAGAAGAGCTCTTCAGTCTGCTCCACTTCCTTGAGCCATCACGCTTCCCTTCTGAAAACACCTTTATGCAAGAGTTTGGTGACCTCAAAACTGAAGAACAGGTTGGGCTCTCTTTGTGTTATTGCATTTTTATTGGTCCATTGAATGAGTAGTATGAGCGATATGATATACTTAGAATTAAACTTGTTGATGATAGTGTGTGTTTGGAATTGATCATTTTGCATTGATATCAAAAAAGGTGTCTCAGTATTATTACTTTCATTATTACAGTATATACACATTGTATAGAATGTACTAAGTTTTGATGTCAAATACAGGTCCAGAAGCTTCAGGCCATCCTCAAGCCCATGATGCTGCGGCGCTTGAAAGAAGATGTTGAAAAGAAGCTTGCTCCCAAAGAGGAGACCATCATTGAAGTTGAACTTACAAATATTCAAAAGAAATATTACCGCGCTATACTCGAGCGGAACTTCTCCTTTTTGGCTAAAGGCGCCGGTCAATCAAATATGCCGAATCTAGTCAACACTATGATGGAATTGAGGAAGTGCTGCAACCATCCCTACCTCATTAAAGGTAACACCATTACACAGTTGGTACTGGCAACTTGTATGATAAGATATAATGAACTATAAAATCTAAACTTTTATTGACGATTTCCCAGGCGCAGAAGAAAAAATCTTAGAAGATTTCAGGGAAGTCTACAGCCCCAATGCTGCAGATTTCCATCTGCAAGCTATGGTCCAGTCAGCTGGAAAACTTGTGCTCATCGACAAATTGTTGCCCAAGATGAAGGCAGGGGGGCATAAAGTGCTAATTTTTTCTCAGATGGTGCGATGTCTTGATATTCTGGAAGACTACCTCATTCAGAGAAGGTATTGCGTTTGTTTATATTCATTTGTTTGTAACCTTTTTAAGGTTGTTAAAAATGTCTAGAATATGATCATTGAAACTTGAAAAAGTGTGTGTTTGTTATTATTATTATAGAAATGTAGACTACAATATTCATATTACCTTTTAGGTACCTCTATGAACGGATTGATGGACGCGTTCGTGGGAATTTACGGCAGGCTGCTATTGATCGCTTCAGTAAGCCTGACTCAGACCGGTTTGTGTTCCTCCTGTGTACGCGCGCTGGCGGTCTCGGCATCAACCTCACCGCAGCCGACACCTGCATCATCTTCGACTCTGACTGGAATCCTCAGAACGACCTTCAGGTAGATTGTTTAAGTCACACATGCTTTTCCCAATTCTTTGTAAACTCATGCTGTCATTTCCAATATTCAGGCCCAGGCACGCTGTCATCGCATCGGTCAAGACAAGGCAGTGAAGGTTTACCGGCTGATCACAAGGAACTCCTATGAGCGAGAGATGTTTGACCGCGCCAGTCTCAAGTTGGGTTTGGACAAAGCCGTGTTGCAGAGCATGAGTGGCCGAGAAAACAGTCTGGGAGGAAGTACGGGGGGAGGAGTAAGTTTTATTTTTGAAATTCATGGAAATTGAGTGTACGTAAGGTTGTGTGTGACCATTTAAATTCAAGTAAATACCATAATTAATAAAATGGTCTCTTTAGTAGTTGATTGGTGGTGTATGAGTGGAAATGTTTTGACCTGCGACAATCCAATTAAAGAAGCCATTGAAACGTATTCATGACTGGCTCAACGCATGTCTTAATTACTGATATTGCATTGCTCAACTGTTCTCCTTTTTACTGTTTTAAGTAATTTCAAATGCAATAAGCGTTGTAATTTATTTTGTACAGGCAGTACAACAGCAACTCTCAAAGAAAGAAATTGAGGATCTATTGAGACGTGGTGCCTATGGGGCTATAATGGACGAAGAAGATGAAGGAGCAAAGTTTTGTGAGGAAGACATTGACCAGATTCTTCAGCGCAGAACAAAGACCATCACTATTGAGACTGAAGGAAGGGGCTCTACTTTTGCAAAGGTTCCTTCATCTGATTCTCAAATTAATTAATCATATGCTTTTTTGTTTAGAAATACTTACTTACTTTACTTTATTTTTCCAGGCTAGTTTTGTGGCATCTGGAAACCGAACAGACATTTCTCTAGATGATCCAAACTTTTGGGACAAGTGGGCCCAGAAGGCTGACGTTGATATGGATATGGTTAATGGCAGAGTATGTTTATTCACAAATTGTGTGTGGGGGAATATTTAAGCGTTTCATTTAACTTAAATATGCTGTTGTTTTGTCTTTACAGAACAGTTTAGTGATAGATACTCCTCGTGTAAGAAAGCAGACAAGGCCATTTAGTTCTACCAAGGATGAATTGGCAGAGCTTTCAGAAGGTGACAGTGATAGTGATGAAACTAAACCCAAACTACGAAGAACCTATGACCGCCTTAACAGCTATGGTCGCACAGAGTGCTTCAGGGTTGAGAAGAACCTTCTTGTTTATGGGTATAATTCCTTCTTATGGATTAAATGTGTTGTTTTATGCATATACATTTAAATGCCTATGTTTGTAAAACACAACGTATTATGTTTTATTGTTAACAGTTGGGGCAGATGGAAGGATATTCTCAACCATGGTCGATTTAAGAAGCAGTTGACTGAGCGGGATGTAGAAACAATTTGCAGGGCATTATTGGCCTACTGCCTGGTTCACTACCGTGGAGACGATAGGATCAAAGGCTTCATGTGGGACCTAATTGCTCCTACAGAGGATGGACAGACCAAGGAACTGCAGAATCATTTAGGTGAGAACCAAAGAAACAAAAACACTGTTTTAAAACATTCCTAAATGTGACAATACATTTTTTTTTTCTTTGAGATGATGAACAAAATTATAAAATGCATTTCATACAGTGTTATCAAACATCTTTTACCTTGTCTTATAAGGTCTGTCGGCTCCTGTTCCAAGAGGACGAAAAGGCAAAAAAATGAAAACACAATCAAGTTCGTTTGATATACACAAGGCAGAGTGGCTTCGGAAACACAATCCAGAGTACATGCTGCAAGATGATGGCTACAAAAAACACCTCAAACACCACTGCAACAAGTAAGTCACTCCCTCTTCTCTGATGCACTTCAATATTTACATCACACTCACCTTGGACCAATTATGGTAGAAATTACAGTTCATTCTTTATCTCAAATAACTAAGAGACTTTATTTATCTTTATCACAACTATCGAATTGAGTACAATATTTTCAATCAGGGATTTCTAGATAAAAATGCATGTCTCTGGTCTTATACCAAACTATACCAAATGAGTGCAAAATCCTGTTTTGAACCATGGAATAATTTTTCATCGGAATTCCTGCTTTTCTAATAGTGTCCCTAACTTCTAGACACTACCTGTTAAAGTTGTCTTATGAGTGATTCATTATTTCCATAAAATAATGAATCATATTTTTGATATCGGCCTATAACATGTATATAACATATGTTAAAGCACCCACTTCTCCTCATAGCCTCAGCGATGAGTATAGAGCACTGCAGGTCAATGGCTTCCATAGAAAGTTCGCTTTTGTTTTCTTGTCTGCCAGTGCTGAATCCAGAGAATGTCTGATATGTGACACACAGGGCATTGGATAACGCCGTAAAATATGCTGATGTGCGGCTTTCAAGTTGGGGAATCTAGCTGCAGAGAACAGTGCATATAAATCCAGTATCTCTCTTGATACAGTAACAGCATCCACTAAAATGTGTCAAGTCATTCTCTGGATGTGTGGTGGGATATTTCACATTGTAAATAATTTACAGCAAATGTAATGGATCTCAAAGAGGCTCGAGTGATTTCATAATCAGAATATATTCATGATTACCGAAAGAAGATGGCCAAATGTGTGATATATGTATTCTTTGAAAAATAAAATCGATTCATAAAGATAGTTCCTCCACTAGTCATAGTGGGTGTCGATTCCCACAAATATCTAGACTGTTAAATATATTTACAGGCTAATTCAAACACAATATTACTTTTACAGGATACAACAGTTGTTCTAAACTAGAATGGATAAGAACAATATATTGCAGATTCTAATGTTGACTTCAAAACAAAAGTAATGGGTCATTCAAACAACTATTATCTATAGTTATGAATTAAGGGCCCCGGAGTCCAGTGTAACAAAGTTACATTGGAAATGACATTGAAATATATTTATGGTTACATGCTACTGTGCTATTAGACAGATGCTTCTCTGCATTAAGACAAATCCTTTAAGCATAAAAGATATTGTGACAGCATTACACAAAGGGCCTCTATTTTGCTTTGGTCTGTCTGATGTGAGATTGTGCGTCACAGAGCTTAGTGTCTCCTGTGAGTCAGTCTGTCTCTACCTTGACACTCTCTTGTCTATTAGCTTTCTTTCTGTCCGTTCTAGCTTGGATTCAAATCTAATGCTGGCAGTGCACACAGTCGCACAGTTCACTTCCTACTTTGTGATCTGGCGGATTGTGTGTGTTCTGCTCACTCAGCAGTCATTTGTACGCGCCTGGGGCATTGTTGTGACTGTGTTTCTCTGTGCAGGGTGCTGCTCAGGGTCAGAATGCTTTACTACCTGAAGCAAGAGGTGATCGGAAGTCAAGGCCAAAGGCTGTTAGACGGTGCTGACGCAAGGTGAGGCTGTATAATTTGGACCTCTTTTGTGTTCTTCGGTTCTTCTTTCATTCTGTGTTGACTTTAATTATTTGTTTTTTTATTTGTACGTAAAATTGTTTTAACATTATGAAACATATTTTCTGACACAATAAACCTTGTGAATTGTTTTAAAACGACTCAAAAATGCTAGAGCTCCACCTGCTGGCAAATGCTTGTGATCATTCATTGTCTTCATGAAATTGTCTGACACAGTGAGATAAAAATCTGGGTGCCAGAGCCGGACAATTCAGAACTCCCAGCTGTTTGGTGGGACCCCATCTCTGACAAGTGCCTGCTGCTGGGGGTTTTCAAACATGGTATGGATCTTTCTTTGTTGATTTGTTCATGTGATGCAATAGTTATACGTGTTTTGTGCTTTTACAGGGTATGAAAAGTACAACACTATACGCGCAGACCCCACGCTTTGCTTTCTAGATCGTGTTGGCCGACCAGATGAGAAGGCAATTGCTGCTGAACAAAGAGGCAATGATTTTATGGATGGGTGAGTTCATTTTATTGGACATAACCACATGGATAGTTTTCCCATTGCCACTTCACATGTGAAAATCTGCATTTTATATTTTTATTTTCAAAGAGATGTGGATGATCCAGAATATAAGCCAGCTCCCACTTTGTTGAAAGATGAAATGGAGGTAAAGATGGTATTCTTCTTTCTATTATGATTATTTTATTATATTGCACCAAATTCAACAAATGTTATTTCTGTGTATGAAATCAGGATGATGCATCTTCACCTGGAGATCTTGTTGTTGTTGAAACCCTTGGAGGTAAAACTTCTCTAAATTTTTGCCAAAAACAAAACTCATTCTGAAAATACATTGATTATATGGTAATTTTCCCAGATGCTGCCCCATTGACCTCCGAGGGGAGCAGTGCATACTGGCCTTCCTCCTCTACACTCACAGCACGATTGAGACGGCTCATCACAGCCTCTCAACGTTTCACCAAAAGCCGACAAATCCTCCACATCCACCAGACCCAGTCTCAGGCTCAGCCCTCACTGGTCCTGCCCACAGCTGCCTGCCCACTGCCTCCTTCTCTTGGCGACGCTCTCAACCCAAAAATGGCTGCCAAGATTGAACGTCAGCAAAGGTAAGAACTAGTCTCAAAAAATAGTGACACATTTGTTACATATCCAAATGTTTTCCTCTTCAGATGGACAAGACGTGAGGAAGCAGACTTCTATCGCGTTGTATCCACTTTTGGTGTTGTTTTTGATCCGACCATTGGACGGTTTGACTGGACCAAGTTCAGGGCTATGGCTCGACTGCACAAGAAAACTGATGAAAGCTTGCAGAAATACTTGTGCGCGTTCACGGCAATGTGCAGAAGAGTTTGCCGCCTGCCACCAAAGGAAGGAGGTCAGGAACCTGCTTATTATTAGATGTAATGTCAAAGTTATAATGGGTAAGGCGCTCTGAGCGGCTCTGCGTCACAAATATCAAAGTCTAAAATAGAGTTAAAGATTTGGCAGAAATCTGACAGAAAAATGAAGACACGGGGGTATTGTAGCTGTTTACGTACCAAACTATTGGGTTCAGAGCCTTCACTGTGGAAGTGCCTCTATGGGTTTACTACTCTATGTAAACATCCAGAATGTGTGTAGCCACACACATTGTTTGTGGCGCCCGTGTTTTATGTATTTATATTAGCTCATTGATATGATATTGAGAGAGGTCATTGTCCCAAATTGTCATAAATAATGTATTACAAAGTTTAGTTTCAGACTTAATTTTTTTGCCTTTATGTACAAAGTACATCCCTTCGTGTTTGTGTTGCGAATGTTTTTTGTATGTAATGTCATAAATGTATTATTATGCTTTTATTCTAGACTCTGCTGTGGACCTCTCTCTGAATATCCAACCAATCACTGAGGAACGGGCGTCCCGTACCCTTTACCGCATAGAGCTGTTGCGACAGGTTAGGGAGCAGGTTCTCCGTCATCCATTACTGTACGAGCGCCTGTCACTCTGCCAGGTGAGCTCTGACCTCCCTGTGTGGTGGAAGCCTGGGACTCATGATCGGGACCTACTGATTGGAGCTGCTAAACACGGGGTCAGCCGTACAGACTACCACATCCTGAGGGACCCAGAGCTCAGTTTCATGGCCTCACAACGCAGTTATAGCCAGAGTAAAGCACAGCAGCCGTTGCCCACATCTACACAACCTTCGCAGCTTCACCTGATGGCCTCCGTCGCCGCACCAATAGGATCTCCTCTGGCCTTGCCTCAATCAAGCGAGCCTACAGGGGGACCACCTAAAGTGGAGCCCAAACAGGAACCTCCTACTGAGGGTGAAGAGAGCAGAGAAAAGCCTGCCGGTCAGGGTTGGACCACAAACCATGCACCTGGTGTCACCACAGCAGTGAAACTTGAGTCGGAGATGGGGGAAGGTGAGAGAAAAATGGTAGCTGCCAGGACCAAACCTCTAACACCAAATTCGTCAGAGAAAAAATCCAAGAAGTCAAGCAAGAAGAGCCGCAAGGAGACTAGGCGGGACTCCGACTCAGATTCTGATGGATCTTCTTCAAGTGCATCTTCCCACTCCTCGTCTTCCTCCTCATCGTCATCTACATCGTCAGGCTCTGGCTCCTCCTCATCTTCATCCTGCTCCTCTGGCTCTTCTTCCTCATCTTCATCATCTTCTTCCTCATCTGAAGACAGTGACTGTGATGGAGAAGAAGGGAAAAAGAAAGGTACAACCCAACCAATTGTTGTTGTTTTAGCTTATTATTACTATATATTTTGTCACAAACAGTTCCTGTAACAACAACTGTCAAGGGGTTTGATGAGGACAGTGTGGCATCGTTGACCATGACCCAGGATGATCCACACGACGCTAATGTTGCTAATGGCAGCCACTCCCATCCGTTTCAGGGAGGGGGGTATTCGATGGCTGTATCGTACTGGCCTAAGGTAAGCACCAGAATTCAATGTTAGACAATACATTGTACTGCTAAAGGAATTCTAAAACACACTAGAAATATGTCCATCAATTCATAATGGTATAGTTACTTTATTATATGATAACATAATATTAATTCACTCCACACACAATTGTTGTAAGCTGCTAATGTGGCCACAGCTAATTATGCCCCGTACTGTTATGTTTCTGAGATCTGAGAAAATCTGGCTATGACTGACAGGTTGATCTTTTTGCAAACAGATTTTATTTATAAAACAATAATAATGACTTTGGTTTTTTTCCATGATAAGGACCGTGTGATTATCAACCGGTTGGACAGTGTGTGTCAGGCTGTGCTGAAGGGCAAGTGGCCCGGCATTCGCAGAGTCTACGAGCCGGGATGTTCTGTGGCTTCTTTCTACACTACAAAGCTGATGGAAACTGTGGGCAGTGCTTCTGAGGATCCCTCAGCCTCTCCACAACGGTCAAAGGTGACCAAGCATGTTGCAGAAAACAAGGAGTTCTCAGTCAAATTCAACAATGTATGTTGATTTCTCTCCTCCTCCTCCTCACCTTATCCTTGGACTTCTACCTGCTGTTCATGAACAGCATGCTTCTCTATTTTCTTCCTGTCTTTGGCTAACCTTGCCAAATGACTTTCAGAAGGAGGGATTAGGATGTCTTACTATCTGTTCTGTATTATAGTTAAGCACTTGTACCGAATAATTCTTAAACACACTATTGTGTATATGTCTGATTTTTTCACTGGGCTTCTCTGTGGGTGCTATTCTGATATTTATTACAATTTACCTTTGTTTTAAAAAAGTAAACACTTTTAACAGCCTTTTTTCTTTGTAGCAGGAGGGAGGTTTGAAGCTGACCTTTCAGAAACAGGGACTTCCTGTGAAGAGGCCCCTGGACTCTGAAGAAGGGCCCCAGGCCCAGCAGCAGTACTTAGCTCGACTTCAGGAGCTGCAAAATGCCTCAGACACAGGTCTGACTGACATTAGCCAGCCGCAGTACAGCTATCAGAATGGTAATGTTGTGCCATTGCAATATTACTGTGCATTTGTTGTTGTTTGTGGTGTGATAACACCCGGAAAACTAATGAGTTACATTGTTTTGGTTTGTAGTGTCTGCAAGTGTTTCTAGTCACATGTTGAATGGAGCTGTGGAGGGCCAGCCAATGGTGAAAAAACGCAGAGGGAGAAGGAAAAATGTTGAGGGAATGGACCTGCTTTTCATGAATCGAAGCAGAACAGCAGCTGATCTTGATCAGGTAAGTTATTGAGGTCAAACCATGCAATGGTTACTGGTTTATTCTAGTGTTATATGTACAATGAATTTAACATATTACTAGCACAGCAAGCAGAGTGAGTGTGGTGTGCAGTGGTCCAAGTTTTCAATGTTTTCAATGTTTTATGAATTACATACTCAGTGTTGGGTAGAATACTTTGAAAATATATTCTGTTCCAGAATACTGAATACATGACCTAAAATGTATTTTGTATAGTATTTTGTTCCGAATACTTAGAATACTTGTATTTCCAACATGTATTCAATATGTAATGTAATTAATTCAAGTTTTACTTATTACATATGATTGGTTTTCCGCCAAGAAAAATGTATCACGCCAGCCATTATGTATAATATAAAGACATTTAATTTCTATTGAGATAATAGCGGGTGCCTATGGTTTACATGCGCAAAACGCGCACGGACACACACACACATCCGCACACTCAGTAAAATAGTTAAGTTTAGCTATTGCTGTTAGACAACGTTTGCACTGCACTGTTATATTCGACCTGCCTTCTCCTTTTTTTAAATTAAATGAAATTGTGATTGAACACAATATGGATGCATTGGCCGACTTGCGTTGTTTCTGTGTGCCGTGCCCTGTGATGCGGTCTCTGATTACAAGTCTGACTCCTCCGTGTTTTTGAACCACAATCTCCATTTATTTTTACATTTATTCTGTATTCTAAATACTAGACTTTAAATTAGTAATTGTTACGAAATGCAGTTACTCAAAACGAGAATTCTAAATACGTAACAGCACTACATGTATTCCGTTACTCCCCAATTCTGTGCACAATTATGTATCATGATCTTTTTACTTTTTCTTTACCAGGTGCCCCCTGGGTGGGGAGGTATTGGCCAGGTGGGTCTACAAGTTGCACCTTTGCCTGGATACAGCCAGAGCTCTGCTGACTCTGAGAGCAGAGTTCCTGTCATAAACCTCAAAGATGGTACCAGGCTTGCTGGAGATGATGCTCCCAGGAGAAAAGATTTGGAGCAGTGGCTAAAGGAACATCCAGGCTTTGTGGCAGATACTGGGGCATTTATTCCAGTAAGTTTTTTAAATTGCACATTTTAAAACTTTTTTTTTCTTTTTTACTAAACTAGTTTGTTTTTTAGGCAGTGAATAAAATGCAGATGCAGTTTCATTTCCAGGATGGGCGTCCTAAACAAAAGAGGCACAGATGTCGAAATCCAAATAAGATAGATGTTCACAGTTTGACTGGAGAAGAACGTGTCCAAATCATCAACAGACGAAATGCACGAAAGGTTGTCATCTATTTGTTCAAAATGTTCTTAAAAATGTTCTTTTAAAACAATAATCTATTTCTTCTGGTTCTGCAGATTGGTGGAGCATTTGCCCCTCCTTTGAAGAATTTGTGTCGATTCCTTCAGGAGAACCCGGAGTATGGGGTTCCACCAGAATGGGCAGATGTCGTCAAACAGTCGGTAGGTGGACTACAGTTGTGTTTGTTTATTTACAGGGCTGAGATGTTCAGTTGTTAAAGCCACTCTGTATAATTTTTACAGTTGCTCCAAATGAAAAAGATGGTAACCAATAGACTTAGAATTTGAAATATAAATGTACATGAGAGCTGAGGATCCTCCATATCAATGCACCATCTTGGACAAAAAGGATGCGAGAATCACGTTTTCGTTTCACAAGTGCTACTAATGACGTTGCTTCCACTGTGCCCTCACGAGTTTGAAGTAGGAACCATGGTGGACTACAGTTGTGTAAAAGAACCATGGAGGACCACAGTTATAAGAACTACTGGAACAACAATCTTTTAGAAAAATAATTCAAAAATCTTGAAACTGGCGTCATAACAGAAAAGCGTGAACTCCGCAAACCCATAGACTGTATATATTAATGGACAGAGTCACGCCTATCTCCGCTGTTCAAACTAATGGGCCAAAAATTGTGCTCTACTGGAGCTATCCAAAATGGCCGCGAGTGGTCCCGACCCACAAGAAAATTGTGAAAAAACGCATCTGCGCATGAGTCAGCCGACGAGAGCCCCATTTATTTGAACGAGTGCCCTCAGCATTGACACACATGTGGAACGAAGCTTTGGGCCAAGAGCCAACTTACAGGATGGTAACGTCTTTACCATCCTGTAAAGACGTTTTGAGAGGTCTGCCAATGGTATATGTTAGCATTGGTTTATTCTTGTTCCGGGTCCACCCCCATCGGCCCGGGGTGGTATTGCAAGCATGTCAGCGCACGTCATTTTGGCCACTTTTGAGTCAGGACCCGCCCCCACTGCACAAACCACACGCACCGAAAGGCAGCGTTAAAACAACAGGAGGCACATTGCTGTAGTTAGTACACAGCAGACTCACACGAGAACAATTCATACGTTTCTTCACACCAACAGTGACTTTTTTCACACTGACAATAATGTGAACGAGGCAGAATCTGCAACACGGGTCTCAGGATGTTTCAACAAAACTCATTCAGGGACAAGCCTCAAGTCTCACAGAATCCGCGCAAAACAATCACAAGAATATTAACAGTGTGCGTTTGAATGTTCTGTTTTTTTACTGTGATGCATATGCAGTGCCTGATGAAAGCTAATAGTAATCTGAGCCTTCGGACATTGCCGAAGCAGTTCTGCTTCGGCAATGTCCTGCTTCTGGGATCATCGTGGTTTTAATCTCCCACAGATTTCCCATTCCTCCAGGCGTCTCTTCTCTTCTCACCACGTTTGTAAAACTATATATTATAATAGATCCATGGTAATGCACCTCTGTGCAGCGCGTGCCGCTTCACGGACTTTGTTTACACATCCACCTCCGCGCACGTGCGTGATGCACATTTGTGGTGCGGTAGTGTATGGAGAGATCTGGTCATTAATCAAACTAAAGGATTCTTTCCTTAGTGGTCCGGGTGTTGGGGACCTCTGTCAAACACGACAAATGGTCCTTGGGAGGCTTCGTTCGCTTAGTGTTGGTGGTAGAAGTAGACTTGTAGTATATGATCTCAATGCTAGATGGGAGTGAAAACTACAGATTGTACCTTTTAACTGTTATGTTATGCCATGTCTATTACAGGGTTATCTACCCGAGAGCATGTTTGACAGGATCCTTACTGGGCCCATCGTTCCAGAAGAAGTCAGTCGTAGGGGAAGGCGACCCAAAAATCCTCTGGCAAGAGCAACAGCAGCAGTACCAAAGCAGACGCCTTCCTCTTTGGGCCTGAGCCCTTTGTTAACGAACGGTCTCCTTCCGGGAGTGGACCTGGGCAGCCTCCAGGCCTTTCAGCAGAACCTGCAGTCTCTGCAGCTCACTGCTGGTCTCATGGGGCTTCCATCTGATGCTAGCAACATGGCAGCCAACAATTTTGCAGCTGTGTTTCCCATGATGCTGTCTGGCGTACCAGGCTTGCCTAATGTACTGAGCGTTGGTGGCCTGGTGGGTAAGGAGGCTGCTGCAGGTGCTGAGGGACAAGGACAAGGTAATGTCAGTGTTGGGCTTCAGCAGGCGAAAGAAGAAAGGACAGAGGCTTCCAACACATCACCTTCGAACTCAAACACCACTTCCCCTGGCTCTCCAAACTCGCTGTCACTCAACCCTTTGTTACTGTCCAGTATGATTTATCCAGGGATGCTTCTTACTCCAGGCCTTAACCTCTCTGTGTCCGCCACACAGAGCACTGACAAAGACCCTGTTCCCCCATCAACCTCTGCAGCACCACAGGACACCAAACAGCTAGTGGCCTTGAAAGATGAAAAGGACAAAGTTGACAGTGAGACACAGGAGGAAGATGAGGAGGATTTGAATGAACAAAAAGACATCAGTGGTCCGGAAGGTTCTGAAAAAGCTTCATCGTCATCATCAGCATCCGGGAGCTCTTCCTCATCAGATGACTCTTCCTCCAGTGATGAAGACTGATTTTATGAATATTTTTGACTTTAATTTATGTATTGCCTAAAATGTACCATATGCTATTCACAGTATGGATTTTATAGCACTTATTTTTTGGATTTCTTTACATGTCAAAATACACTAACAAGTTGTATGAAAACAAAAATGTTAAAAACAACACTGAAATAAGATTTGAGTGTTGATGGTACAGTTTTGTTATGAGACATGCATGTCACAATTCAGAAGATTTGGAAGTCTGAATGTGTATTAGAATTATGTACAAAGACAACAAATAGGCATTAATGTATTAATGTTGGGATTTAATTTTATTAAAAATTCAAACTTCATAAACCTGCTCATTGAGATGAGCTGAACTATTAATATATTACGATTGTTGGGACTGAGGGAGTTGCACTTGAAAAACACTCACTGTCATGTAAATATCCAGGACTGTGTTGACACTTTGCTTTGCAGATCATATGTTGGATATGCCAGCAATAACTTTGGCAGCTAATGAATGTCACTGAAGCTGTAGATTTTCTGTCTGCCATTTTCCATCAAAGCGCATAACTAACAGCCCAATTTTGTTCATGATAAGATCAGATCACATTCACTACGTTGAGTCAAATTTAAATGAATACATATAATTTTAACTCTTAAGGGCATAAGCTAAAATGTTTTCTCATATGTTGTAATGCATTTTTTGGAAAAGATGCATTTGACAAACATGTCAATCCAAGATGCACTTTAGCTTCCCACAGTACACTTGCACCTCTCCTGACTCTGGCATTGTCAGAGTATAATAATCCTCTCGAGTCTTTGGGGACAAAACACAACCTTAATACTGTGCCAAACTGCCCTGGGATCCTGTGAAATCCCTGTTGGGTATTATGGTCTCTGTCACAAGAAACTGTTTCAGGACAACACAGAAATATTACAACCCTGGTGTATTTGACTGCATCTTACCTCAACTAAGAAACAGATTGGCTTCACTGTGCATAATGGGCATGTGTGAAGTATTTTTATTATGTACATAGTTCTTCTCCTGCTGGAATCTGTGTGTTCGTTCTAGATTGAGAGCTTCCACAGTGTGGTTCTGTGTGGCTGGCCTGTGCCTCTCTTCTGGTTTCTACTGCTTCCATACTTTCCAGTTTGAATGTTGTTAAGTTACTCCTGTTGAAAAGGAGAGGGCCTTGAAAATTTGCAACAATGCGATGCTAAGTGGTTTTATTTTGTTTATGATTCTTATTTTTCTCTTTATTTTTTATTTAAACACAGATGGGGACAATAAACAAGTCTTACAGACAATACATGGTACAAGCACATCTTTTGCATTATGGTAAAGATTGTCAAAAACACACCTTACGTTTTCTGAATAATGCCACCTAAAACTGCAATGGATAGCAGCTGTTGCTACAGGTTTGTAGCTTGTTGAGTCTTTTACTTCTTTTTTTTGCTGATGGATGGAGCTTGAGTTAGATGTAGAAGTGCCCTTATCCTGTACCTCACGCTGTAAGTAAAATAGGTTCTGTGCCCATACACATTTTTTTACAATCACTGAACTGTACCCAGGAACTTTACACTGGAATTCACTGAGACCGAAAGTACCTTTTTGTAATATTTCTTTCCACATTTGTGCTCTAGGACTGCTGTTAAACAGTGGACTGTTAGATAAGTACAAAAGTGATCATTTCAAATCAAGCAGGTGGTCCCTTTGGTGTCAAAGCTGTATTCCTTAGGTATTGCTGTAGCATTACGTTCAGTGTTCTGCGGTGCTTCACAAACCATGCACTCATAGCTCTGATCTGATCTCCGATGTTGCTTATGATATGCCTATTTTATGGCCCTTGTATTGGGTTTGTTTTTATAATATAACAATCCTATTTTTTCTATTGGCCACTGTTGCCACATAATGTTTCATCTCCATTCACACATTTAGTAGTGTCCTTATGCAAACAGGCAGTGATCTACTTCCACCCCCATGGTTAAATAAATCCTCTCTCTTTCGTTTGGCACCCTGAAGCGACATGCTGACATTCTGATGTGTGCTGTGCCACTGTAAAGTACATTTGGACACTCACTTAGCTTCCCTTTGCTTTTGTTTTCATCTGTTGTGCATTGCATAGGGATGCCCACAATGCTTTGCTAACCTTACTAGAGGCAGTATTGAAGTTTCACTTACAACAACCAAGACCAATATGCAAGGACCGCTTTTCAACACTGCTGTACAGGGAGATGTACTTGCCGTTATCATTCATGTTTTTACTGACATGCTTATCAGAACTGATGTGTTTTATTTCAAGCTTGTATAATTATATTATCACTATAAAATGCTCAGATCGTTTTTTTCCCCTTGAACATTATACAGTTGTAATAATTGCAAGTTGTGATCTGTGTAGTCTAATTCTCTATGTAGTTTCAGAAAAACGCGTCTTAAAGTCATTTGTAATTTATTGGATTACTTTCTATGAAGTTCTATAGAGGAAATTGAGGTTAATTATTTTTATTAAACATATTCTGAATATCTGACTATGTGTTTGTCAAATTGCTTTTTATTTTTTTAAGATATATAATGACTATTACAGCTAATAATGGACAGACTTCATACACCAATGATACATTTTATCCAAAGGTATCTTGGATGGGAACAGCCTGCCATTCATAGGGATTGTGATTATGAATGTAAAACTACAATGGCCTAAACATGTTCTGATGCTTTGATTTCAATCTCCTGTGTGGGAGTTTCAGGTTTATTTTGGAAAATTATTAAACACAAAACTCAAAAAAAAAAACTAAATGGAAATCACAACAATAAATGTATTATGTTTTGATACTTTCAATAGGGCTGCTTTCACACATCATTGATTGAAAGTTCGACTCCTCAGGTGTCTCTTTGCATCTACACTGGTGTGAGCTTCTATCGCTACGGTGCTCATGGTCTGCTCTGTACAGCCATGACGATGAGTGCATTTGTGCTGTCCTGTACGACCACTTCTGCTGTGTTTCTGTGGTACATTATAGATCCATGGGTATGGGGAGCTTGCTTGTCCCATATTGGTACCTCTTTCAGCACCTCCTCACCTGCTTGCCACAGTTTGAGAAATTCACTGAACACGTCTTCCGTTCTCAGTTTGTCCACTTGGGGGCACTGTATGAATATATTTCCGGTTTGTTTTGTATTTCAATATAGAAAAATCCTAAATTAATATTTTATTTCTATGGAATGATGCAAGTGAAATAACTCATATAGTGGCACGAATTTAGGTTCCTCATTAGGACACTCACGACCATAGAATATATTACCATGACGCACGTACGTAAGGCGCGCCCATTTTAAAGTACCACCCATGTGACTACCATAACAGACTACGGAGTCACTACTGTACGTTGGCCCCGTCCCAATACTCGCACTTCCACCCTCGCGCCCCTCATTTGCGCGTTCCCGATAAAGTGTGCGAGTGCGTAGGGTGTCCCAATTCTCCAGGGAGGTCTTTGGCCCCGCCCCCTTTGCGCCCCTGATCCACACTTCGCCGTAGCCTGCATCTATGCACACTCTGGCGAAGGATATTGCCCATAATTCTTTGCGACGGGACACCAAAACGACGGGAAAATGCAATTAAATATACATTTTGAAATATATATGCAGTATGTGTGTAAATAAGTTTTGCTGTTACTTGGAAAGAAGCATAAACGTCTGATGAAGAATTACGGACATTGTGTTTTAACAATTTAATAACTTTTTAAAGCAAGCGTTTCTATAACATTCAATTTAAACTTTACACTTAGTACAATAATCTTAGAATGTATAAAAACTGACCAGATAGTTAGTTACCCACATTTAACTTAAAATTATACCGCTATCTCTAATTAAAAACAACTAATATAAATGTATTATAACGTGTGTGAAGCAATTCATATTGTTTCCCAAAGGGTCAGACAAAATTACCTTTAATTTTTATAAAGTTTAGGTCTTAAAATGACCATCTCTTGACGAGTCGATGACGTAAACTGCATTGCCTGGCCTGCCAAACGATATGCTTTTTCAAAGACATATAGTCTGGGAACGAGCTTGATCTCAGCGAATTCCCGGTGGGCGTGGTTGACAGACTGCATCAACCAATTAGATGCACACAGGATATGACGCAGCAACTAGCGGCACCCAAGCCGTTTCAGTAAACACAAAACAAGGGATGGCGGCATGTCAGCTAGTGCAAATGTAAAACGACTGCTGTCGATTTTGTAACAAAAACTTAAAGATACGAGGAGTTATTAGCAACTCAAAGGTGAAAGGAAGTCCCGCCTCTCGGTGCGTGATTGGACCGATGTGGGTAAAATCGTGAAATGATAGGCTAGGAAGAGGTGTCCAGACGGTTCTTCTTTTGAACAGAAAGGAGGAGTGTCTGGCAGGCCAGGCAATAAACTGCACTCAGTGTGCAATGTCCCAATTCCACCTTTTGTGCACGCTTGCAACCTGCGCACTCAAACCCTTGCGCGCACTTCAAACAAATGCACACTTCATAGGAGGGCGTAGGGTGCAGTGTGGGTATTGGGACTGGGCCGTTGAAGCGGAACGCCAACATCTTACAGCATTTACTGTGAGTTTTGCCGTGGATTTAGCATACACTTCACATATGACATGGCTGTCCATAAGGTTATGGGGCTGTCAGTTTTACCCATTGACTTTAAATATTAAGTTTAACCATGGATTTTACTAAGTGACAGTTCAGGGCTTGGGATAAACTCGTCTCGCAACAAAGACCGGCTGATACGGTCACACATTTGCGGGGAAACTCGGATCTTTTTCTTGTTGTTGTTGTGTAAATCCCACTTGTATCGACCGGAATGTAAAAGCACTTTAAAAGCGCTGTGAGGAGATTTCACCTCGTCACTCACGTGATACAGCACTTTGGCGCCAAACGCACAGATTTTCCCTGCCCCTTGGCACACATGGATCTATTATAATAACGCCCCTGGCACACATGGACCATGGATCTATAATAATAACATGGACATATAAAGAGACGCCACATCCACCGCTACTGTTTTATCTGTTTTTGCAGGCGCAATGTCACCATAACTCGCTTAATACGTCACACATGTAGCTATGATACAGGACACATGGTCTAGCGTACATTAAAATCCATAGTTGGTTTAACAGTAATAGAATATTCAGATAAATGATTATGTGATGTAGGTATATTTAAAAACACACGATGTAGTGAACATGCACTACACAATTGACTTTCAGGTGAGATTTATGGAAAATATACACTTATATATGACAGAACCCTGTATATACACTCAGCCTTTTTAATGAGTTGAAAAATTAAGAAACAATATATGAGATACATACATTTCCTGTCTTCATGTTTCCTATTATTCCTATTTACTTTTCCTATTTTCCTCATGCAAATATTTTTGAACCTTTCATCAACAAAACTCGCATTTTGATGAACCAAAGCTCCTGAAATTGTGAGTTGGCTTTTTTGCTATTCACTAGTCAGATGTTTTGTGTCTGATTTTGTTGGTGACATAAATACAGTTCATTAATAATCTATTCACAAACTACAACCCATAATAATGTTCAATCTCAATATTACTTGTGAAAAGTAATCCCCGAGCCCTGCTTTGAATAATCCGCCTATTTTGACAGCAATACGCCGCACAGTGCTCAGGCATTATGTAGGATGACCGGTCCGAGATGGCGGCCGCATTTCTCCTTCCCCAGCCGCCAGTGCGGCGTCCACTCTTTATATGTATGCATTTATCGATCTATGGGGTCACCCTAGACTCAATGCATCACTTGCTCATCCTATACAAACAGTGTTGGGGAATAATGGAATATATGTAATTGGACTTATTCAGTATACCATAATATTTACAGTGTGTGGAATTTAAATTTGGTGGTTCAGTTTGTTATAGTCAATCGTATTTATATATTATATTATTTCTATCCTAAGGACAATATTTTAAAAAGTTTTCTTTCAGACATGGCCTACGATCACACACATTTAGATTAGAGAACATGTGTCTTTTAGAATGTGTTCATATTATGCAAGTGTGTTTTGATTTTGCATTATAGAAGTCTATTCATCTTGCTTACAGTACATTTCTGTTTGTGTCTTGTGTGCAGTGTTTTTACTGTGTCACCATGACGACCTGTTCTATTGAGCATCAGAAGTGGCAGGTGTTGGGTCCCAGTGATGCTCTGATCAACAAGTTGAGGTGAGTATTTTTTCCTCTTTGCACACATTGACATGGTACTACCAGTGACGTTTATTTTATTGTTCAGAGCTTTCCCCACTGACCACACTGAGGAGATGAAATCTTACTTAAACTGCCTGCTCAGTACATTTATGGAATCATTAAAGAGCACCATATCTGAAGAGAAGACTCTTGGTATGTAGTTTTCTGCTATTAATCTACAATACCAAACACAACATTAATTGCTCCTTCAAACATCCGCTTTTCTGGCTCTGGAACTGTCAATATATCACAAGCATTGTCATACATTGTTCTTCTTTTGTAGTGCGAGCAGAAAAGTGTTGTTTTAAGGCCAAAGAGAGGTATTATAAGATACTGGAGAGCTTTCTGCTGAATAAGGATCTCACCAATGTTGCAGTTGTAAGTCTTCTTCCCTATAAAATTTGTAAAACGTAAAGATCATTTTTTCTTCTTTTTTTTGGCCACTTAGAGTTTATCAGAAACAAAGTCATTTCAATGCAGTTTGGTGCTGTGCTGTTTGGAGATGGCCTTCTACACCAACAAGCTAGCATATAATTTCACCCCATTACTTGAGCGTTTTGATTTGGCAGCATACGATCTGTTTAAGGTATGTCTTAACTACATAACTGTATACTGTATATATGTGTGATGACAGGACCCCATGGTTTATTAATCTGAATTTCTACAGGCTGTGTATGTGGTGTTGTGTACTCAAGTTGACTTGACATCTGATATCAAAAAACATCTTGAAAACGTTGTTGCCTTGATTATTGAGAAGTTGGCTTGGACACAAAAGTCTCCACTCTGGGAAGAAATCAGCACAAATGAGGGACGACTACCCACCTGCCAACAGGTCTGTGGCCCTGTTTAAGGCTGTTCAGATGCAAGAATATACTCACCTGTTGAATGTATAACTCCTCTCAGGTCATGTCTCCTGAAGAACTTGAGGGTCCAGTGGCAATGACGCAGTTGGACCATGACACAAATCTTACCATCAGTAAGCATCTGATATATCTATAATTTTATTCTGATTTTAAAATACCACAACAGTATTTCTTTCTTTGCTAAAGACATTTGCAAAGAATTACATTTCTGTTGAAAAATGGTAATAATAGCCTGCATTTTTGACAGCTGATTCCACTACTGATGATCAGAAGTCTACCTTAAACAGACCCCACAGAAGGAGATTTATACATCCATTTACACGTGGGGTCAGTTTTGATTGTGGCACACACTCCTTTCTTTCATATAATATATATACTCTACATACCATGTAATGTAAAATGTATTTGTAGGTTTATTGGTCTGTACATAACAGTCTGAGTCGGCTTTGCTCCATGCTGAAGCTGCAGGATGAGCAGCAACAGAAGATTTGGACTTGTTTTGAGTACTCTCTGGTCCATCACTTTGACCTGCTGAGAGACCAGCATGTGGACTGGCTGCTACTGTGTGCCATTCACAGCATGACCAAGGCACAGTATTCATTCTAAACATCGTCATTGTGTTTGACCAACTGTACTAATGTTTTTTGATCTTTTAGGTCGCTGAACGTGAAATTCCTTTAAGGCTAATTATTAACTGCTACAAGTCATTGCCAAAGAAAAATATAGATGTAAGACTCTGCTTGTTCTACCATGTGCATTTATGATATTCTGTAATGTAAAATTAGAAATGATGAATTAGCTGCTTGTAAGTTGTTTCATAATTCTATGTTCTACTATTCTGGGTGAGTAGTGGTTTGTATCTTTTTTTATGTACATCAATTCATATAATAAATTACAATCTCTTTAAATGTGTTCTGTGGCATTGGTATGGAAAGACATTTATGACATTTTTTTCTAATTTTTGCTCAGGCCATGGAGATGCTTAAAGGGAACTCGGCAATATCCCTGGAACAAGAACGTAAGTCAAAATACAAATGTGGTGTAGCACATGGTACATAAAGTTTGCTTGTGCTTCATAACATTATGTTGATAAATGATTACTTACGAAATAAACGTCCTCTGAAAACAAAATGCGGTGTGGAATGCCTAAATCCTGTATTCAAACAAAAACCAACCTGAAGTGACTCTTGTAACTTGCCTTTCAGATAACAAAGACAGGATCCTCACCCCAAGCTCCCCATCACTCAAAGACCCAGAGTGTGACCAGATCTCCTGTTTCTATAGTCGAGTCTACGCACCTATCATGGGACAATTTCTGAAAAAGTTTCGACCAACTCCTGGGGTGAGCTCGTCTGTTTACAATGCAGCCAATGTTGTGAAAGTAGCAATTCTAAATCTTAGTAACTGGCTGTCCCCCAGGTTGAGACTCCACCTCTGTCGCCATACCCCACTCCACCCTCGACCCGTAAACGCAGAGTTTGTGACCATTTGAATGTGTTTGTGTCTCAATGGAACAAACAAACTGCTTCACCAGCGCTTGAAGGAATGTGCTATGACTTTCACTCCAGTCCGTCACAGGTCTCGGCTCCTTCTGTCAATATTATTTACAGTTTAAATCGATAAAGCACCTGATTCCACTGTCTTTGTGTGTTACAGTGCCTTCGTGACATAAATTCTGCGATCAAATCTCATGGGAATCCTCAGAAGCGAAGAAGACTGCAGCTGGATGAAGGCAGTGATGGTGGCCCGTCAGCGAACAGTCTGCAGAAGAGGATCCTGGCTGTGCAGCACGATCGAGCGCAACTGAACGTAGCGCCACCTTCTGATCAGTCAATTAATCTCTGAGGTTTTACCTTTTTTTTTTTAACTGTTAATTATATATTTAATATTTATTCTAGAATAGTGCAGTATATTATTTAAATATTTATGGAAAGACAATTACAGAAGGGAAAAACATGTGCTGGTTAATTTATATATGATGGTGATTTTGTTAAGAAACAAGTGCAGTGTTGAGATTGTTTTATTATTTTTAATGTTTTTGTTATAGATATGTGTATATATATATATATATATCAGTTTGTTTTTAATGTTTTAAAGTTTTTTTTTTGTTTTTTTTCCATTTAATCACAAATTTATGCCAAGTGTTTTTCTAAAGTTGGTGGTTAGAAAACTCTTTTCCTTGAATACAGTAAAGAAAAATCTACAAAGACTATATATGCTGAAATGTTATTAGAATAAACTTTTTGGACATGACCATTTTGAAAATAAAATCCTCATTTATTTCTTCTAAACTTTACCATACTGTGTGGAGATACTTTAGGCACATACTTTAATATATGCTGAAATACAGAATGCATTGCTTTTCAATAGTTTGGTTTTGATTGAGAGTGTGAAGTGAATCACACCTCCTCCTTTGTTTATCAGTAACCATGTCATAGTTAATTCTCCACTGGGGTTGCTTGGTGATTTGGAAAGGACAGCACAGCCCCTAAACAAAGGGACTTGGCCCTCTGACAGTCAGGTACACAGGTTTGACAGGACGTCCCACTGTCGCCAAGAGACTCAAGCATCAGAGACATCTGATCAATATCTTCTGTGAACGTGCAGCACCGCATCGTAGATCCTGTTAGTTTTACTTAAAACATGGGTTGTAACACAAGCAGAGGCAACATCGTGGTCGACCCGTCAGAGAAACCAGAAGATCGCCCTACAACTGCTGGGTCCACTAAAGAGACATGTCCAGCTCAAGAGGAGAGCAATGGGACAGCGGAGAAGGAGCAGGCGGCTGTGGAAGACGAGAGTGCCAGCTGAGAACGACGTATATGCTCAAAATGTAAGATTTGGACCCACGCTCGTAAATATATTATAAATCAGAAGCTCAAACTTCAAGTACTATATGTAATTTCATAACCTGCCATGTTAAATGTCTTACTTCTTTTTTTTAAAGATTTTTAATGAAAGCCTTAAATATAAATTAAATGTGTGTGTACATTTTAACTTGTGTGCCATATGCCAAAGCAAATTGTTAGTTTGTGACTTCCTACTTCCTGACAAAGTAGCAATCCTAATACACTATTTTTCCTCAAACTGGCTTTCCAAGTACTTTCACGTCTATTTTTATGAGTCTATTAGTTAAACCGATTTCTAGTAGAGAAAAAAAACCAGGTCCTAAACAAAACGACATACCGGTAGAAGTTCTAAAATAGATATAGAGGAAAAATTTATTAAAATAATGCAATTCAAGTAGCACATGTTGGAATTGCAGACTTACCACCAGTAGAACATGAATCACGGTTTGAAAGGATTTTATGTGGTTAACATTAAATGCCTACAAGTTGAGGATTTCCATAAAGCATTAGTTTCAAATAGAGCATATTTTTCTCTTTTCCTGTGTCGAGTTTTACAAGTCAGAGACAGTGAGAGATGTTTGACATGATAAATGGGGCATGTGCTGATGGAAAGTGTGTGTCTGCAGATGGGCCTGTCCCGACTGAAACGGGTCCTCAAAGCGAGCACCATCCAAGAATGCAACAACTGACAAGCAATTTGACGTCAATTACAACTAATGTTTAGAATCTGTTCTACTTTCATGTTAATAGCTATTTATAGTGCACCAATTGTTATATAGAAGTCTTTTTTTTTTCAAAGTTTATTTATGTTCAAATATATTTTTACTTGGTCAAACAGAACTCTAAAATAAATATTTATGAAATCTTACCGCATTTTTATCATGATTTATCGGATTATTTATCTTTAAAAAAATATATATATGTATACTACACACATAACATAAAGCAATTTCTATAAATTGACAAAAGTTGAAAAGTTCAGAAAATACAGTATTACCGCAAATACTGCTTTTTCAATTGACAAATAGTATTTATGTATTCCACAAAATTAAGTCAATCCACTGACTGAATAAAAATTGATTACACGTTTGAGTTGTACTGTATCAGAACGCCAGGGGGCAGAAGTGAACCGCGTTGTGCTTCTCCTATCCCCCAGCAGGAGGCAATGGTGATCTGTGCAATCATCCCTGTAATATTCAGGCTCCATTTGCTCCACACATTTAATCTGAAATATAGGCTTTAAGTTTATTACCAACGAATGAAAGGAGCTGGAATGAAATAGCCATTTAACAAAGCCATATCAGAAATATTCATCTCAGAGCCAGTGGGGAAAGTGACATGAAAATATTACCATTACACAAATGGAGAGAGTGATTGAATTATGCGCTGGAGAATATAAATGAAAAGCACTTTGCTGGAAAACGTGGCTCTAAATACAGTTTTAATTTTAGCAGTAGGATGAAAGAAACCAGTTTGAGCCCGTTTCACTGCTGCCAATTTATTGGTGACTGCCACCTGCAAAAGCAGAGCATGCCTTATCGTCTCATTAGGTGTTCATTAATATGCGTGCACATGTGCCAATTATTCCAGTGATAGGCACAATAGGAAATACAAGTGAGGTCAATGTAAGGAAAACATTTGAGTGCTCTGTTTGAGACCTGGTTCAGCCAAAACTCAAAACACCATGGCTGTTTGTATGGCACACAACAATCTATTAAAAATCCTGTGCGAGGACCACTTCCTGTTTGTTTACATTGGAATGCCAATGTTATAACCTTCCACAATATTAAGTAAGTAAGTAATCTTTATTTATATACCGCCTTTCACAGACCAGAGTCACAAAGCCGTTTACAATTTGTTATTTTTTCTCTCTCACTCCACACAGAGATGGGAGCGGGGTCGCCAGCACAGGAGGCGCATGCCAGAACTATTGTACATGTTTTAAAGTATACTACTAGTGTATTAACTTGTATACCATGATATGGCTTTATGAAAATGAATTTATGGGAATAATCCCGACAAGAGGAATAGAAACAAAGTCTGCTAAGTTTCCACAGTATTCTTTGATTATCATGGGTGTTATGACAGTGAAGAGAAAAGGGCTGTATGCAATATTTTCATTTAAAATGGCAATTAAATATATAAATAAATATATATATATATGTGTAATTTGTCCCCAGATATTAAAGGAGCATTATGTAAAAATCTGGCCAAAAGTGGTACTGCAGTCACAGTCGATATCTGACTCAGGTTGTCAGATATGCACCAAATCCAGCAGCAAACAGGGAATTATTTTATCAGTTGGTTGTCCATTGCCATGATAGCCGTGATAATGTTGAATGAATGTTTTGAAATACAAAAAAAAATAGTATTTGTTTTTTTATTTGGACATTTGAGATGAGAAAAACAAAATAAAAGCAATGTAATTATACATATATTATGCAAAATAAATAAGCAATTGATGTCCAAAATAGGCGTGGGAAGTATGGATGTTGGAACCTATTTCTTCAGCGTATCAACATCAGGGTTTCCTCCAGAGGATATCACCCTTCGATTTTTTTGTTCCCTATTTTTTAGACAAACATGTATAAGTCTCACATAAAAAAGAGATGAACATTATTTTATTTGGGGTACATGTGGTCTCAAATAATTCTTTTTACTAATAAGCTATAATCTGCAAATAACGGCTTGTTTTTACCTTTAACCGTTTTTGAACAATCTGTCATAGAATATTTCATAATGTTAATCCAAAACCTGTCTCGCCCACCCCAGCCGCTGGGGCGCCAGCGCAATGACTTAACCATTTGACCACCATTTCAAACAAAGTGTAATGCATTCCAGGCAGGTACTTGAACTGTCAATGAAGAACGCACTAAACTCAGCAAGTTCTGCCTCACGGAAAGTTTTTATCCGCCTTCAATTGTCTAAATTTTTCAAAGGCGTCCCAATATAAATCCTCATTTTAGTCTTTGTTTTGTCATTAGTGATTTGAGAATCATAACAAGACCTTTTTTAATTCTGCAGCCACATGTCATTTTACCAGTGAGATTAGCCGCGGGGAGTTCTGGCAACCCGGATCACTCACTTCCTGATTGGTGAAACGGCGGATGGTGGGACATCAAAAAGAAAACAATAACAACTTTTACGGGTCGTAAAACTCATTTGATATTCAAATATCTCGGATGAACTACTGTTATCAGTTAAAGATGTATTCGAAAAGAGCATGATTTAATAATACCTTTTGAAATATTGGGGCCATTTAATGATGACTTGGCACGCACATAATACATATTGCTACTTTAATTTAAGTCACAAATCATATTTGTGCTTTCCTGAAGACAAGTTTCAAGTGGAGTTATTGATATTTAAAAATACAATGGATATGATATACACAATATATATGTTGGTTTTATGGTGCTCAGAAGTTAAGCATGACAGGGCCTGGTTAGTACTGTGATAGGAGACCTCTAGGAATACCACAATGGAATGGCTGCCCTTGTCGTCCCTGTGCATCATTTTCAAGTCCGGTGATGGCATTGGTTTCCAAAAAAATATTTTATGCACCAGGGTCGGATGACGAGAGGACTGGGTGGTGGTCAAAGGCGGGCACCTTGACCACCTTAATAAGAGTCTTCAGACTGGATGTGTCCCTCCCTGCTGGAAAACCTCCTGCCTGGTAGCCGTCTCTAAGGTAGCGAGGCCGACTTGATGCAAGGACTACAGACCAGTGGCACTAACATCTGTCATAATCAGAATCAGAATCAGAATCATTTTTATTGCCACGTAAGTAACAGGAAGTCGCAGACTTGGAAATTGTTTTGGCTCAGTGCAACAGTCAGAAAGAGATAATAAAAAACAAAGAATAAAAAACACTTCTAAGGAATAAATTTAAATTTAAAATGGGAGTTACAGTTACTATTTACAATATACAAGTGCACATGGTGCACACAATGTAAGGTGACAGCAGTACAGTGAAGTAAAGTGACTTTATAAAGGGCGGGGGGACAGGTTAAGAAGTGTTCAAGAGTCCAACAGCAGGGGGGAAGAAACTGTTCTTGTGGCGGGAGGTTCTAGAGAAGGCACACTATAGAATGCTGTGGTCTATTGTGTCAAATGCAGCACTAAGGTCCAGTAGGACCAACACTGACACTTGTCCATTAACAGTAGCTAGAAGTAAATCATTTGTGACTTTGACTAGAGCCGTTTCAGTGCTATGATGAGCTCTGAATCCTGATTGAAATACTTATTTTCCTGCAGGTGGCGGGAACGGAACATTTTAAGAGATCCATTGTTCCTTCGGCTGTCAGACTGTACAACAGACATGTATGAGTTAAACATATGCACAATTGTTAGGTAGTTAGTTACAATTCAATACAATACAATACAATTTATTCTTGTATAGCCCTAAATCACAACAGAAGTCATCTCAGAGGACTTAACAAAACCATTGAAATCATCCAACACAGATCAGAGAATCAACAGTTAAAACCAGTGGGGGCGGGTTTCGGCTCAAAAGTGGCCAAAATGACGTGCGCTGACATGCTTGCAATACCACCCCGGGCCGATGGGGGTGGACCCAGAAGTAGAATTAGCCAATGCTAACATTATAAAAGTTGGCTCTTGGCCCAAAGCTCCGTTCCACATGTGTGTCAATGCTGAGGGGGGTGAATTTGTTTGGACCACTCTAGTTCACTTGCTGTGAATTTTTGAAGTCTCTCGTTCAAATGAATGGAGCTCTCGCCAGCTGACGCATGCGCAGATGCGTTTTTTCACAATTTTCTTGTGGGCGGGACCACTCGCGGCATACAGTCTATGGTAAGGCGACAGTAGCTCAGTTGGTAGAGCACTGGCCTTTGAGCCAGAGGGTCGTGGGTTTGAGCCCGACCTTCACCATTGACTCCCATTGATATCTGCTGTCGTTGTGTCCTTGGCAAGACACTTAACCTCTGGGAACACCAGCCACAGGGGGGCGGCTGCGGCTGTAAAGTGCCAAACTGCCGTTGTGTCCTTAGGCAAGACACTTCAACCCCATTGCCTAGAATGAGTCTGGTGTGTGTGTGTGTGAATGCTTGGTGATGGTCGGAGGGGCCGATGGCGCATACTAGTTGCCTCGCTTCTGTCAGTGTGCCCCAGGGCAGCTGTGGCTACAGTAATAATTTATCATCACCGTGTATGGAGTGAAAGAATAATGACATGTAAAGCGTCTTTGAGTGTCCAGAAAAGCGCCATATAAAACCGATGATATATTATTATTATGGTTAAAACACATAAAGAATATAGAACACATGTTGAAAAATGTCCATACATGTTGTAGAATGTTAAAGTGTCCTGGATCATCACCACAGTCCTTCTAGGTGATGATCCAGGAAACTGCCCAACAGATCCTCCTGCGTCGGCAAGGAAAAACTCATAAGAAAAACCCAGTGGGAAAAAAGTGTGAAACCTCGGGGAGACCCATAGTTTGAGAAAGGGATCTGCGTCTTACCTTCCTAGCCATATGCTAACTGAAGAGGACTGTTTTAGCCTATCCTAGAACGTAGGGTTGAAGATGCAGCGGACAGGGTCCCATATACGCAGACTCCAAGACCGGACTACATTTCTAACTAATACTGACATAAGTTAGAAATGTTAGTTAGTTAGAAATGTTTATAAGTGATGTACTGTGTTTATATGGTTGTGTTATCTGCTG